CATGAACAGCTCAAGACGACCTCGGGCATAGATACATACCGTTGGTTGGCCCAGTGGTATTTTCAAATAATGCCCAGGGAAGTGCCGGGGATGGCTTAACTTATATCCGCCAGCAATTTTTTTTACCACACACACATTGTTCCATCATTAATGGCACTGAACGGTTGATAGTAATGTGTTAGTCATTCTCCCCCGCTGACGATGGATTAAATAAAGTACTGATAAGAGGAAACAACTACCTCAAAACCTAATCACAGACCAGAACGATGGTAAGCCAATGTCTCAAGGGCGATGGACGCACTCGGTGCCTTTTTGAAGGCGAATAAGAAGTGCCAATGGGCTGCATTCAGAAACCAAAGTGGAGTAGTAGTAGTAGTAGTAGTAGTAGTAGTAGTAGTAGTAGTAGTAGTAGTAGTAGTGGTAGCAGCAATGGTGGTAGTAGTAGTAGTAGTAGTGGTAGCAGCAATGGTGGTAGTACTAGTGGTAGAAGTAATGGTGGTAGTAATAATGGCAGTAGTAGTAGTAGTAGTAGTAGTAGTAGTAGTAGTAGTAGTAGTAGTAGTAGTAGTAGTAGTAGTATAATGCGGTTTCAGAGGACCGCCGGAGTAAGGTGAGATCCGCAGTGGAGGTCCGCTAATGCTGGTTCATAAGGATTCCGACAGGAGGATCGTTGCAAACGATGACGTCTACCGCGGAGTGGCTGAAAGAGGTTGGACCAGGCGGCTTTTAGACCTTGTGCTCCATTTAAGGCTAATCCGGTCTCACCCTCCGCTGAGGAAGGTTTTGACTGTCCTTGGATAAGTCCCGATAACTGACAGCACACAGTGACGGTCTTGCTAATTAATGCACAATGTCGTTCTCAAACACTTTTTTACATACAACGTTTACTTCTTGTTTATTATTTTGTTGCTCCCACAAGAACTCCGCGTCGAGTGTGGATAGTTTGTAAAACTCCTCATCTACAGACCTCTGTGACGATAATGCGTCGGGTTTGGCCGTGTCAGGCATCACGCAGATGAGATGTAGTCTTTTTCGTAAGAAATCCCATCAGTTCAATTAGAATTCATCAGGTGAAGATGAATTTTGTGGTTAATATCAGGTTAAGAAAAACCATGATGGTGCCGCAACTAAATAACGCTCCTAGAGTCAGCGGTAAAATAAACACTCCTATGTTGAAAAACTGCGATACCAGCTACCCCGTTCATTGTCAAATGTAGGGTAGACCTCATACACTCATTTCCCGGACGGCAAACGGTGAGAAGGAAACTGAAGTTCATTATGTTACCAAGCTGCACGGTGTCACCGCCTGACTGTGAAACAATGCGCCCAATATGCGAAAACGTGATACACCTGACAAATAATCAATAAATGCTGACTCTCGGGCTAAATCTTACAGTTATATTCTACAATTAAATCCTGCCTTATTCGAAACTTTCGTTAAGAGTAAGAGGGGTTTTTCTGGGAATTACTAAGCACATAGGTGGTCTGATAAAAGCCCGAGAAAAAATAATTACAAAAACAGGCTTAAAAATTCTCATACCTGATCGTGGTAGCGACCATCAGTCCATAGAGCAGCCTTGTCAGCTGTTATTACCGCTGTGCCCGCAGATCCGGTAAAACCAGAAATAAAGGCAATGCGCTTGTCCGCAGCTGCGAGATACTCGTTAAAGTGACTATCCTCCATTGGCAGAAAGTAGGCGTCCAAGTCGCGCTTCCGGAGTTCGTCACGCAGACGCGCCAGTCGAGGAGAGGAGTCCAGCTTCCGCATATTTGAAAAAGTACCCGAGAAAACATGGGGCAGGCAATACGCGTGCCTGGGGAGGAGGCGTCCCAACTAGAAGGATGGGTTGAAAATTCCGATGTGAAAAGGTGTACAAGCAAAGAATTCACAACAACCTGTCATCCTTTTTGAATTAGACTGATGATACTCGCTATGCAAATAGGGGCCGCTCGTCGAAATGTGCAACAGCTACCCATGCAATACGCAAATCTTTGGCAACGAACCAGAAACTGTTTCTCAGTTTCTCTAGTGAAAACAATCATAGCAGCCCCTATGAATCTCGTATGCAGTAATCGCACGGACAAGAGAAACGGCGGAAGAAGTACAGAGGACTCATAGAGGCTACGAAGAAGAAATTTGTTAGGAGAGTGATGTGTTGAGAATGATTCATGAAGTGGACCATTAAACGTACGGAGAGCGAGGAGGGAGAGACAGGATAATGCGTAGGAATGTGAGAAGACCAATTCAAACAAGGCATGAGTGAAGCCTAGGTCCTTCTCACTGGGAGTTACGCAGACACACCCTTGGACGCAGCACAGCACTTATTTCTGGTTGAGCGGACAGTATTCTACAAACCAAAGATGCGAGGTCGGTCCGTGGTTGAGTAAGCAGAAGAATCTAGAGTAAATGGCCTCACTTTCTCCACGTTCCACAGCTATGTCCAAGTAGTGGCCAGAGTTATTAGGGGGGGGGGGTGCCGTTAACGTATAGCATTATATCGCGACTTTTTTCTGTTATTTTAAAAACGACCAAGTGGACAAAATCTGCTACTGATCGGTCATACCTATCGCGACTCTTCTACAGCGAGTGGCAGTCGCATCAATATGGAATGGCTACTAGGGTTACCAGGGCCGTTCTGGTATAATATCCTACAAATAGCGTAGACTGGACCCCCTTGAACATTGTCGTGTAACTCCAACTAATTTACGGAAAAAAGCGACGAAAATAACTAAATGATGAGAACGAACATATTTTATAGGACGGAGGACAATGATACAGCTGGGCGATCTACCGACGAACCTGACTTAGCCTGGGCGACCCCACAGTACTAACTAGTCAAAAATTTTGGCACGGCGAAACATTATTTTGGAAGTGCAGTTACATACCTACCAAGTATACAACGAACGGGAGACGTCTCCATTAAAGAATGAATTAACGACTATCTGATGCATTTTAACGCAAACGGCAGCCTCCGCAAATAAAGTTCCAGGATCAGAAAAGTGCAAACCATCTTTCCGAGTACATTTAATGAGTAAAGATACTTAGCTGTCCCTTAGACGTTTTCTGGCAGCAGAACTTGGGTCAAGGTTTTATGAGGGCTACTCTTACAATAATCCTCACCTGCACGACCGGACGAATGCCACATACTATGAGTTTCACCGTCCATATTAACAGTCACAAATGACGTCTTTATCAATTTTTTTTATCACATCGGCAGTCCAATAAGACTAATTTTTCTAAACAATTCCCTGCTACTGCCACTTAGTTTGATAAGGGCGGTGTGTCGAGTAATGCGCGCGGGATAAAGCAGAAGGGCGCACGCGTAGTTTGGATAAAGGCTCATGCATAATCCGCATGCTGTGAGCTCACCCTAATAGCAAAAATTGGCGTATCGAGCTCATAAATGCATGCATGCATGCCGGTCTGAAATCAGTACGAAGTGCTATTATCTTATCAGCACTGTACGAGACACAGGCGTACCACATAGCTCAACACAGGGAAAGAGTATAACACAGAGTGACATCTTTCTGCGTAAAACTAGGAGCACTTTTAGAGATGGCATAACTTCACAATGGACGTCCGAATGCTGATATCGGTTACGGATTCTGCTACGTGAGAAACGTGGTTACTCCGGCGCATAAATCAAATTTGGTCAAATCTTCTTGGGTGATGGTCTTGACAGACCCAACTGCCCTGATAGCATTTAGTCGTCCAGGGCTAGACATTTGCTAGTCCATTTGACTTGCGGGCTAGTGTAGGGCTAGTAACCTGACTGGCTGACATTGCTCGATCTGTGTGGGAAAAGGAGCTTTTCTGCTACGCCCCCTCCTTGATGCTCGCCCGAGTGCATTTTCCACGTCACGCCCGGGGTCCCTTTGCGCGTACGCACGCATGAAGGGTGCTCGCACGCAATTTGTCCGGAATCTAGGCCCCTGTCTGGCGACTTAAATAGCCTTGGGCTACAACGCCCTGAATTCGCCCGCTAGGGTTTCTGAAAAAAATCCAGTCAATCGCAACATTAGCTCGCGACCAGGCTAGTCCTGGACGAGTAGAATGCTATCAGGGGTGGATAAGCACAGACACGCGACAAAACAGCGGAGACTGCGATTCGTCTAAAAAAACCAATTAGCGTGAATAAATTATGGTGCACTTAAATAAAACGTCTCCGCAAGTAGACGCAATTTCGCTTCTTGTAGACCTGCTTTTCCCTCATTTCTGCCTGAATCTGCCGAAATACGCACAATATCCGGTGTCCATTTGCGACAACGCGCGTTTTGATCTACTGCCGCCAGGTCTCAATGATTTATAAATAGCTTTCATGTGCCTTACTTCGTTTTATGCAAGCGCATTCGAGTGCAGCCAAAATGTATAAGTTTGTTTTCAGTTTTTCCTGTGTTCTGGGACAACTGACATGCTACAATAAACCTACTATATTCTTTTCTACCAACGCACATGAATTACTTTTGAGTGGCATCTTGCCGGCGTGAATTCATCCAAGCAACGAGCACTGTTTACAAAGACCACCTCGGAAACTTTTGGAGCTGCCCAGTAGAACCTTCACTTTCTACAATAACCCAGCACTGTGGACAGCTTTACATTCGTGAGTTTGTACAACAATTCACATTCATGATTTTCCCCATTCATTAACTACGCTAATATTTGTAGGTTTGACGCGGGATCACTTCTAAAAACTACGTTTTTTCCAAAAATATCATCATTCTCTACTTTCAATTACTGTTGCACTGAAAATGTGATGGCGCTGACTTCCCAGATTTACACACCATTTTCTTTACAATTACCGACAACCGCACTCACACAGATTCCCTGGATATTATAACACTTTCCTTTAAATGGCTTCCGCACACGTCCAGTAACCCACTCGTGTGGCTATATCATTAGAAACTCTGTTTTGGATTGGTTTCTAAATCCACTGCTATCACTCCTCCCCCATAGCGACAATTTTCGCGGTTCTTGATGCCATCTCCCGCATTCCGACCTCATGCGGTCTGTCGATGCTCACGGTGGAACACTCAGTATTCGCCGTCGACAAGTAGTTTGGTCGTACCTCCCTTCCCCACTCCTCGGCTGGGCTCGAAGCGTACTGTGGCCGATCGCGTCTGGATTCCTCTCGCCTGGCCTCTTGGACGCGAATAGTCTCATCCGGCGTATCAATCCGGCCCAGACGATGTCAGTTCTGAATCCCGTAAACATTACCACATGCAGGCCAGTCCTGTCTGACCCGCATACGTACCCCTCAAGGCTGGCATTTATTTCTGCCCTGACGATGTCCAATTATAATCCGTGATATACCGCCACATACAGGCCGGTCCTGCCCGCATTTTTCTGTTATTATTTTTATTGAGGGGTTTTTTTCTCCTGTAAAATTAATCAATCATTTTTAAATTTTTGTATGGAGTTTTTTTCTCACCCCTCGCTAGTCATTTTTCTCAATGGACTACTAATTCGGAAAATATGAATTGGATTTTGTAAAGATTCTGCCTACCTCGTCTAAAATTGGCATGTAGATTTATTTTTACTTGCTTTGATGAGACCCCGACAGGTCTTTAATAAAAACTATTATTATTATTATTATTTAGGCAAATTGAGGCCGTTTCCACAACGCGCTGTATCACCAGTGAGCTCACGGCACCTTATGAGCGGTGCAAACACTTCTCGATGTCGCCACAGACGTCGAGGATCTTCTGGGCAATATCTCATCTGATGACCCCAACACCAAGCTGAGAGATGTTGTTGGTCGGCGTGTGGCCAAGTCGGACAGCCGAATGTTACATAAACTCCTCATTCAATCCGATTTATCAACTAGCAAGAGTAATGTATTACCGTAGACTTCACCCTAAATAATCTCATGGTCAAGAGTCATTTTCATTCCCAGCCTTAGTTCGCCGCCGAAAAAATGCAAAATAACCTATACAATTTAGCACAAATTGTATAAATGAAAATTCTACTGATTGGTCTACTGGTTATAACAATTTGTCGAAATTCCTTACTATACATAGCCTCTTCCTTAGATTCCCAATCAAGCCAAACTTACACAAACTTCTAATTCTTAAGCGAAGCGCTTGAGTCATCACGACGTTGGGAAACCTTTTCCCTTCATATATCATCTGCGTACGCGCAAATCCAATTCTTCCACAAATGCCATGACAATCATATGTTTCCGAAGAGCTTGTCTTACAAGCCACCGGTAAACACAAGTCTGGCGAAACGATGGGTGATGCAAAACGGCAGGCGAATGATCCGTGCACTCCTTTAGGACTGCCATCTTCGGCTGCGAAAATATAACGGGGTTCTGAGCCAAGCGGTTGCTAAATGCCCTGAACTCACTGGCGAAGACGGAACTATGCTGCTGCAACAGGCGATTGATAAACGGGCGAAGGAACTACGAGCAAAACGAGCTATCATGCTGGCAGATAAGCTTCGAAATATTAGCTGCCCGTCTCAGGAGAACGATGTCCTAGTCCACAATCTATCCTCTCAAGAGCTCACTTCTGAACAACTAAAATTGCTGAGTCTCGAGGCCTGCTTCAATACGCAGACGCTGATCCGGTCAACTGCGTGGCATCAGTGGAATCAATTCTCAAACAAACCGAGGAATCCGACGAAACAAAACGCCTCGTTTGGCAACGGGTAACCGCCTTGGTGAGGACACACAAACCACGCGCAATTATCACGAGAGCGGAACAAGATGCCCTCAAGAAACTGAGGGCCGACACGAGCATTGTGGTACTGCCAGCAGACAAACGACGTTCTACAGGTGTCTTGGACAAGACCGACTACATCCAGAAGGCCAACAACCTGCTGGATGATCGACAGGTCTTCCTCCGATGTGATGATGGGCCGATGAAGAGGCTGTTGACGCAGTTGGCACAACGCTGGCTGAAATGCAGAGAAACAAAGTAATAAGCAAGTAGGTACGACTGGTCGTTAAACCAACACAAGCAGCCGCATCAAGGTTATACGGACTATCCAAAGTGCACAAGGTCGATGTCCTCATCCGACCAATCGTGTCACTGTGCGGCGCGCCAACATTCAATCTAACTAAATGGCTGTTCCGATCCTGAGGCCTCTCACCTTAGGCGCAACCACAGCGGTCTGTCCAGCTACTCAGTTTCTGGAACGGCTCAGCGGAACGCGACTCACTGCAGACGAGGTCATGGTGTCATTTTACGTCACCTCCCTCTGCACTTCCATCCCGCAGGACGAGGCCATCGAAACGGTCAGCGAATGGCTCGAGAGGCATTACGACGAGATGGATGAGTCAGTGAAGGTAAGACATCTAGTCCAACTCTTAAAATTCTGCCTGAAGACGCACTTCACCTTCCAGGGGACCAGGTACGAACAGATTAGAGGGACGCCGATAGGATCGCTTCTCTCCGGCTCCATCGCTGAGGCAGTTCTGCGAAAACTAGAGAGCCTGATTTTCTCAAATCACAGGCCAAAGTTTTGGACTCGGTACGTCGACGACACCTTCGCCATCATTACATAAGAAATGGTCGAGAAATTTCACAGCGTCCTGAATTCCGTTTTCCCGGATATTCAGTTTATGATGAGGGCGGAAAACAACGACCATCTGCCTTTTCTGGACGTTCTTGTCCATCGAAAACCAAACGGACACATAAAAACGACAGTGTAAAGGAAGGCTGCCAACACACGCCAAATCCTAAGCTATCACAGTAAACACCCGGTATGTCACGACGTTTCAAAAGCAGACAAGCTTTAATCGTCGAAGGTGAGTATCGTACGGCGTCACACAGTACTTATAGGGGGTGGATGAAAGTCATGTTAACACAGTGTCAATTATACGGGGGGAGTTGTAAATCGGCTTTGGCGCTAATTGTCCGCATACACACAGGGGTCGTCTCTGTAGTCACCGGGGCAGAACGGGAGGGAGGGTGGCTGCTGTCTCTCGTCGGGAGGTGGCATTTGAACGTTGGTGGTCATCGCTCGCATTCGCGTTGATCTTAGTCGCCGTCCTGGGTTGCTAGTCTTGATTGCATCCCTCTGACCGCGTTTCTCCCCGTCTGCCGGAGTAGTAGTTGAGACGACAGTATTGATGACCGCGCCTTCGTCGGGCCCGATTTGCGGTGTGGCTACGTGTAGGTACGTCGCAGGTTCTCCCGTGTTTGGATTAACGTCTGGCCTGACTACGCGCTTGCTCTTTCGTTCATTGAGCTGCGTCCGGAGGGCTTGGTAGGCTGCTGGAAGGGCGAAGCAGCGGTTTATTGAGGTAGTCTCCGTGTGCCAGGCCTCGATTGTTTCCTTGGCTACGCGGTCATTGCATCGACCCAGAATTTCGGCGTTCTGAATGGCGAAAGTGTGACCGGAGTCCGCGCACTGTTCTGTCACCAGAGACAACGGTTCCATTCTCCTCACTGCCCACATTGATAAGGCATTAAAGCGCCTTACGGGAAATAAATTAATCTCAGGAGTTCTAACCAGATCCCTAAAGCAAGACGAATCCGCAATTGCCAAGATATATGGACTTCCTAATGTTCACAAAATGGGTATTTACTGCGATCGATAGTTTCCCTAATCGGTGCACAAAAGTACAAGATTTATAAGTGGCCGTTTCACCATCTACGTTCACTTCCAAGGGGCTCTGAGAAATCCATTGAAGATTCAAATGAATTTCCATACAAATTAAAAGGAATGAGTGTTGCAACCAACGAGATAATGGTTTCCTTTGATGTAATCTCCCTCTTCACCTCGATTCCATTAGATTTAACGAGACGCTGCACCGAAGAACTCCCTTAGGCCTACACCACTTATGTACATGCGGATGCTCTACTCCAATTACTTGATGTTTGTCTAGAAACAAACTTTTCATTCGCCAAACAATTTTATCGGCAACCGAAAGGCGCTCCTATGGGTTCCTGCTCCACAAAGATCTTAACTCCGCATTTTCAGGAATCAAGTTCATTTTCGAAACAGAATTTGATGGACAGCTCCCATTTCTGGATGTCCTTGTATGCCGAAAAACTGATGGATCCCTTCGAACTTCAGTTTATCGTAAAGAAACATACTCCGAGGTCATCCTACATTTTGAGAGCAACCATCCCATCTCTCACAAGACGGGTACTGTCTACAGCCGGCTTAATCGAGCAAAAGCACACTGCTCTGATGAAGAAAGTTACCAAGCAGAGATGAAGTACCTCTTTAAATTATTTTTCTACAATGGGTACCCGCGCTACTTTGTGTGCCATTACATGAAACATGAGTTTAAACACAAAGTATTTAGTACAATACGGCCACCCAGACACTAAAAACATTTACCTGGCGGACTGTCCCATACGTAAAAAATGTATCTGAGCTCGTCGAAAGACAGCTGAAAAAACATCAGGGACCCCGACGGGTCTTTAATAAAAATAATTATTTTATTTTATTATTAAGTAGCAGACCAACCTACAACCACCTTGCGTACACAGCTTGTACACCTTTGGGACAGGGTTGGCTATCTCGATAGAAAAGGTGCTGTTTACAAAATACCATGTTTCAGTTACGATGCCGTCTATTGTGGCCAGACCGGGAAATCTGTCTCAGCCCGTATATACGAGCATCAGTTAGCGGCGAAGAAACGATTTCATGTATCCCAAGTGGCTATGCATACACTAGACACCGGACACCAATTTGCATGGGAGAACACGCGCACTGTTGGCGCCTGCCTCATAAGGAGAAGCCGTGAATTCCTGGAAGCAATGCACTCAGATGAGGCATGCATCAATCGGCATATCCATAAAGATGCCACGTACAATTTTCTCAAGGAAAAATGGAAGCGAGCACAGCCACTGCCAAGGGGATGACGAAATGTCATTAATGCGCATCGGCGCAGACTTCGGCCAACCACGTAATCACTTGTTCCATACGGTTTAAATCGTTAACTGTTTTTGTACATAACCCAGTAGTCTGACGACGAGCTGGGGAACCAGGTCCGAAAATCTACTAATAAAGTTCTTACTTTTCTCAAAGAACCTACCATCTTCAAATAAACATATATCTTATGTATGATCATGGCGTACGCCGTACTAGATAGAAGTCCACACATGTTTTTCTGATATTTCTGCTGCATGAAACAGCTGCGAGTGTTTCGTCTCCTCAGTGGACCTCCCAGCGTTCTCTATGCTGTTTCCATTTTGTAAACTAGAGATAAGAGTCAAGGTAATAATTCCAGAAAGTATTTAGTGCAAGAGATGCAGTTCAGTGTCCGTGGCATGATATATTTACGGTCAGTTCGAAATTCTAATGGACATGTGAATCGAAGGCAATTAGCAAATGTAGAATAACCACGTACTGTCCAGACGAATCACAAGTGTCACATCCCTCACGCAAGGAATAAGGGCCAATTTAATGATTCCCACTAGCCGAGACTTGAAGCTATACAAAATTGTACTTTACGGAAATAATCATGACAGAAGTTTCCGTTCGAGTCCAATGGTTACCCAAACTCTTATTCATCTAGTTTTCATCATGTTGTAAGCAACTTTTGTTTGGTCGCATATCGGACGTTGTTACTGAGCCTTATGAAATTACTTTGGAGACTAGATGATTCACAAAGTCTGTGAAAAGCCTATAGTTCCGACTCTGACTACAAATTATAATCCTAAGAATTCTCACTACGACAGAATCTGCGATGTTACCACAAAACTTGCACGAAATTTCAAGGGTTATGTTGTTTAAGCCACTAGCAGCTCAGTGGCAACCTATGGGTAGCCGCTCACTTGATATCTCTCTCCTGCTCTGTCTAGACCCGAAGGTCCACTAATGAATTTCTAAGTTTATCCATTCTACTTCCCCGATCGAGGCGTTGTCTACCAAGTGTACGGCACAACACCAAGTCTTCATCTGCGTCCGCAGTTTCGCCAGCAATTGACAGAGTCACAGGTGACCATCACGGTTCTGCACTCCAGAGCTCCGTCAAAACTGGCGATCGGCGCTGCTCTCTGGCCTAGTCTGCTTGTATTAACCGCAATACAGAATTCACAAGAAAAAGGTCAATGTTAAACAACCAACCCAAAAACTCTCTGTTGGGTGTGCCTGCGGAAGTACTAAAGACCAGTCCTTTCTGCGATATGACAAGGACTTCTCCATACTTGTATCGAAACATCAAGGGTAGTCTGTGACAAGCTAAATGCGATACCAGGGCCAATCTTGAATCTAAAATGCATAAATTGGCTTATAAAGGGCATCAAAATGCTCAGGCACCTAAGCAAAATTTCATCCGCCTCTAAGTCAAGAAGTTGTAGTAATTTAAATCTTTCTTAAAAGAGCTACCCTGTAACTTTGAAAACTTGCCTTTTACAGGCGGGTCGTTTAGTTTGGCATCCGGACACGACAAATTTTTTTCTAGCGTCTGCATCCCTTGTATGTCCCTTCGAATATTAATTGTTTACTTCCGATGAAATATTTCCCCGCGACAAATATCTATGCTATATTATGATTGCAGAAATTGCTGTGTGTATATCGGGCGCACTTAAATCTCAAAGTCGAATTTGACCATGACGAAGAGTTGATTTCTGAACACCCAGCGATACTCCTGCCGAGAAGCCACAGCTTATCTATCCGAGAAGACACTTTGGGCTGCATATGTTGGATATTAAGTCTGCTCGTCACCCGGAACTCACACAGTTGGGAAACGTATATAGTAAGGTCGAATATATTCGAATAGCATACTCCTCTGTTGAGCTACGTACATCGCGATGCACAGCCATGCGAGCGATAATTATTTCTCCATTTTAGACTCTAAAGGACGCCCTGTTCCACATGTTCTGCCATTTTGCGTTTTCGGACTACTCTAAGTTTTTCTGTTGTCTGGATCGGGGGAAGCTGGGCAACCTGTCAATTAATAGTGTTACATAACATCTGTAGATCTAATAAAGAAGGCGGTCGTTGCCAGCTGAGTTTTTGTTCCTCAGGTTTTTGTAAGTCATTGAAAACTGCATTTTAAATGACAGAATGTACTCTTGGCTGTATTAGTTTGCGAAGGTCATTTCGATCGTAGTTGCTGAGTTTGATGGATACGGAAGCTGGACAAAATGATTCTTCGACCGCATTGTCAGGCCCCCTAGTGATTGTGTTACCGCATCTTGGCTGGCTTTGATCACTGAAGTAGTCAGATTACTGGGTCAGCTAATTTAACAGTGCGCATCAGCCTCCCGACTTCACGGCCAGACTAAGTCACCCCACTTTTCGCGCAGATTTACTTTGAAATTTTTTGCTGTTGCGCCGTGCAGCACTCAGGGCTCCTCGGCAAAAGTCCTCCAAGTTCGCATCTCATTGGGACGTGAAATCCTTTCACCAAGGATTCAATCCATGCGGTGACGCCGACTGCGATCTAGCGCGTGTGAGATAGCCTGCAGAGTGAGGACTTCTCGTGGGACATGGGGTCCCAAGGCGGCACGTGATTGTTAAAACGACTTACATTGAGTTTATTTTTAAATCTCGGCCTCTTAGTGTCTCAATCTGAATCGTAGCATTGTAATTTTCGTCGCCCGTTTCGTTACAGCTTTCTGCCAGGCCTTTTCAGGAAGCTCGGACGCATGTAGAACCCGTTCAGGTTTCGTGTATTTACCACTCCATCCGTCAGCGGCCGATTATCTCTTTGGTTGACAAACGCATTTTTTTTAACGAACAGGCCGTCCATCATAGCGAAATTGACAAGCCCATCACAATCGCATACCGGGTTTCCACCGCTCAGCAGATAAGTAATATCTCCTTGTCCTCTTATGAATGTCCCCCTAGGTTTTACGTACGGGCACGTCTGGCCATAGTCCTTAGCACACCTGTTTATAATCAACACCCAGCGCTGGGACGCATACCCTCACTATGAACTCAACATAAGCAGCACAAAGCTCTGCAAGTCCTAGCATTAGTGACGTCAGTTTACTCTGAGAACGTGAACCTACTTTCAGCCTCTTGTCTGTTTGCCAATTTACTGCTTCCTGACACATTCGGTTGGTCAACCGGCTTTTTATTTTGTAACTTTGCCGAGACTCCAGTGAAGTTTGTGCTGTCTTATAGGTTTTTGCCCTGTTCAAAGAAATAAGACAAATGTCGCTCCTTCAGACCGTTCCTTCCTCATCGTAAGTTGTTTTCAGACCGCACTGTATTTCTAGGGAGGCTAAGGGGCACAGAGACATGCAAGTTTCCCCCGAAATCCTTGCCGTTGTAGAGGACATAAAGTAGGTCGTTTTGTCGTCTTCATCCTCAAGAAAACACATGGCTGAACAGAAGAAAATTCGAGAGGAATTTAACAACGCTCCAGTGAAAACTCTTGATACTCTAAAGTCGGAATTAGCTGAATTACAGAGCGCAGTCATTGCGGTTTCCTCCGGTTCTCGCAAGCAGAGTGTGCAAGCAGCTCATCTGAACGAGGAAGCTCTAAAGGTAAGAACAGAGTGTCGGCTGGCACATTTTCTTTTTTTCTTCAGTTGGAAAGGAGTTTCGCCATGGTACAGAAGACTCCTGATCTTGCTTATGACTCTACCCAAGACAGTCCTGCTCTTACGCAGTACTTTAATAAGTTCATTACGTCTTCTGGCGATCGTGTGCTGAGGTACAAGCAGGAAGTCCAGGCAATCGAGGAACTTTTGTCTTCAAGGGCACGAGCGTCCCTCACGCCAAAGGGTAACTCACTTAATTCTTTATTACTGGCCTCTTCTAGAACTTGCTGAAGTGTTACGAAAACTTGACGAGCAGTTTATTTCGCTTGCGGCACAGCTTTACACAGCAAAGGAGGATGTAAACGTACGTGTTTTCCCGAAATAAGTGGTCGGTCGAATGATGCCAACACGTCCTATCTCCTCTCATTTTTTTTCACAACCCAGCTATCTATGATATGCCAGATTTTCGACCGAGGGTGTATAATTTTAGTTCAAATGTTTATTAGGTCAGACTAGAAAGTACAAAACTCATAGCCAGAGAATCTTTTTGCGTGAAATCTCAAGTCACAGATCTCCCAGACTTGTGCCTTCATCCAGCTACGAGTTGTTACAACTACGTTTGAGATTTGCTCGGTAATCTTTTCTGTTGGACGCATAGGTCGAGTGTATTTTTGTCTGACCAACCATCATATAAGGCCCTTTTCTAGAAGACTGTTTTGTGTTTGCGTAAACTCTAAATATTCCTCAGCGGAAATCTCCCAGAACCATATTAGTTTCTTCCTGTTAATTGTGTGGAGGAGAATTTAAATTTGGCCAGACAACTAACAGGAATGGTTGATCTAGCTCAGAGATAGAGCACCCGACCAGGTTTGGGAAGGCCGGCCATATGGGTCTGTCTCCCAGAAAACGTCCTCTGACTGAATTAGTTCCATATTTCCCATAATTCGTCTCATGAATGGTTTGAAAAAAGCCCCTGTCTGTTTGGTCTGTCGCATTCAGCTATGGTCCTTGGGAAAAAGCTGACAGCATGCAAAATGGCGTGGTCAGTGGTTGTTCTCGTTCATATTTGATACATCACTGGTCGTGCCTGGTCTAACCGGCATCAGATCTGAAATTGTCAGCCGCTCCCTTCCTGGTCGGACACAGAGTCTCCACCTAGGTCAGCGGTTAGCCCGTGATGCTCTCACGTTAGCAGGTACTTCGCCGATCACCTAACATTTTTGTCGACATTTTTACGCAGATCATAAAGAATCTCTGAACGATGCACCGTTTTCTCATCTCCATACAATAGTTCGCGGTGTTAGCAAACCATCTCCTGCCTTTTTGCCTTTAAACCCCACTAATCTGTTCTTTTCAACACCTGTTTTTCTAGGCCGTGAAAATGCAGTTTTTACGGCAATTCCGCACAACGAACGGCGAAAAGCCACTTATTTCGCTGTCAGATCTCGAAACTCCACTGCCTCAGACCTCCTTTGATCTGCTTGAGAAGGACTTCAAGAAGTCTTCCGCTCTTGGCCACACACCCTACGGCCCTTCACCCTTCTCCATGTCTGCTGCCGACAGTCCTGCATCGACCGTCGCCGTATCCGTACAGCCTACAATGACGTCTGGCACCCAAGGCCTTCTTCAAACCTTGACAACCACCGGAAACCCCAACACTCTTAGTGGAGGTTTATTCTCGCTAGGTGGAACTCCAGGCAAGTCCGCCTCATATATTTCAGTCCCTTCCGGGTTGGTCATTCGTGATGTAGGTTGTCGTGCATGTCAACCGTATGCGCAGACGTGAACAAGGCGCTGATTGGAATCTTGAAATAAGTTGCCAATGCGGAAACGCAGTCAACAATTGATTCGTACATTGGGTGCGCTGGTTTTCAGTCGAATATTTTCTTATCCCTATCTTCCGGACGTACTCACTGAAGTCTCTGCTGAGGCGAAGCACACGTTTTCTGCCTTCCACAACCCACTTACTCCTTTTCCATGTTGCAGGCACGTTGTCACACATGTTCGCACCGATTCGTGACAGACCGTCGGGCGACGCTGGGTCAGTTGGCAGGTTTCGCTCCCTGCTGTCAGCATCAGCAATCTTATGTCATCGGAGGGTTTCCGCTCCAAGTCTACTGAGCCAATTTCGGAGTCATCCCAGAAGAGGGGAATGGAGGGTAAAGTTGATGGGATTTCGGGCTGAGAATGTATGCATCGGTTGTCAGCGCGGGCCATGTCTCACACCAATCCACAAGAGTTGTACTGCTAGAGGCGTTATGTTGGTAGAAGCGAGCGGGCGAGTTCCAGGGAGCAGTTCAGAAGACGAAGATGCGATCACTGGAACAAGAAATTTATTGGCCTGACGTTCCGGATTCTGACTCGAACCCATTATCAGAGGCAGTCGACTGTCTACTGAGGTATACATTGTGCAGTTGGGATCCCTTGTAGTCAGGCTTCGGACAACTATAAATGTTGGGCAACGAAAATTGGACCGGACGTCTCAAGCCATCTAGACCACCCCGTTTCGTTGTCGGAGTATAAAGTTTTGGGTAAAGATAATTTGATACCAAACACCTGCGACGACCCTTCTGTTATTCCCTTTCAAGGTACTTTATTGAGTTTATATAAACATTGCGAAATCGGGTTAGGCTTTTCCCAGCTTGAGACCGTTGTGACTTGGAGCGAGTTTAATTTAAAAAGCGCCAACACACCCTTAGTCGCGAATCGCGTAAATTCTGCATATCTAACAGCATTAAACGTCTGTTCGAGCACTGTTTCATGCTTTAGGCGATACACCCACGCTGAGTTTCTTTACGGCATATCATTTGCGCGACCGCATACCGTCTGATACTCTCCATCGCAGTTTCAGAGTGCAATTAATCTATCAGGGAATAAAAGACTAGACACAGAAGAGAATAGTTTATTAGCCTGAGCTTTTCAACTGGTCTACGGGTCCGTTATCAGGGATGTGTGGGAAACGACAAAATGATTGTGATGGCGAATCTCGTGCACCTGCGACCGGCTGCGCCACTCCCGGCGACTACCGCCAATCATGAGACTGGCCTGGGCCCTTCATCTTGGAGGGTAAGGGGGGGGGGCGGTCCGGGGTGCTCGACTGGCTGATTACCGGGTTCACACCCATGCTTTTTCTCCCCCCTTGCCCGATTATCAACGTGACAGCAGAGCCAAAGATGAAACTTCGTTTCGGACCGTAAACCGTCGCTTTGTCTTTGTTTTCGTATCGTTCGATCTGCATTTGCTGGGGACAGTCAGGGTGTGACGGCAGTGGCAACTGGCGAAGCCAGGACTGATGTTCACTGCGTCCAGTCAGGCCTGAGACTCCCTGAGACAGTTGTGGTAGCCGCTTTTGTAGGCTCGTGGGCCAAGCTCAGGTGGTGGCCAGTCAGTGTGTGTTGCATTTGCTGAGGGATGGTGTCCCAGTGGCTTAGGTTATGGTTACAGGGGGAAGGTGCGTCCAAGTGGCCGCATGGGCAGATGCGGCTGTGCGGCCGCAGGTGTGCCCGGGCTGTCGGTCGTGTGACTTCAGGTCAGCACGTCTGGAACGGTTCACTGCAAAAGGGTGAATGACCTTGAGGCAGCAGGGTCTTAAAAAATGACGCCAGACCGGTCATGATGGCCGGCCGCCACAAGGGCATGAAATGTGACAGACGGCATCTGACTACCTACCCTGGTTCTCACCCTCCCTCGATGTCGGTGGTCTAATTGAGCATTATGGCCACAGCTCACTGTGCGGGCAATGCATTTCATGGCCTCGGAGGGACCTCTGGTGTAAGGCTCTGCCTCCTTGCTGTAAGGCCACGGACGCCTGATGACGAATTGGTCCGTCCACGTTTGCTTCCTAGGTGCTCCAGTGATTGAAAGTCCCTCCGAAAGCTGAGGCCAACAGGCGCTTTCCGGTGTTTGGCCCTCCCTTAACGGGAGAAACTCCCCCCCCCCCGGTTATGCATGTTCTACCCTATAGTCATGAAGTTCCTCGTTTTGCATTCAGGTACAACAACTACGACTGCCGGTGCTACCCCAGGTTTCTCGGTCGGGTCAGGCTTGACGGGCGCCTTTGGTGCCACCTCAACAGCAGCACCCACAACGACTTCTGCTTTCGGGTTTGGGCTGGCAAAACAGCCGTCTGCGACACCCACTCCGACCTTTGGCTTTGCAACTTCGACCGCAGCCACTCCCGCGACGACCAGTGCATTCGCTTTCGGCACACCCGCCGCCACCACCGCCACCACGACTACAACCACATCCTCCTTCTCGCCTTTTGGTGGAAAGAGTTTATTCGGCCTGCCGAAATGAACAAAACCCCTCCCCTCCCTGTACTTACCGCATTTTGTAAAAAAAAATTAAATTAAACACGGCCATGTATGCATTTGTAAGCTCGGAGTTCGAGTGCACTTGAAACTGGCGTCAGGTACTCAAGGTACCACTGGGCCTCATGTGCATGGGCTCCGCGGCGGAGGCATCTGTACGCAAATGGCCATTGAAGTCCTGAATGCCCGAAAAAACAGAGGACTGGTTGGGCGCGGAGAATGTTTATTTGCCGAAGATTGAGACGAAAAACGGCAATCAGGGGACCCTTAGCCGGGCTGCTGGTGCTTGGATTCTGCAGTTGACAGTGTAAAGCAGCGCACGAGGCGGGGAATCGACATGCCATCAAACTGAGACGTCTGCTGGCTGTATCAATTAATCCGCATTCCTTTCGTGCAACCCGCAGGCTTTTCCGTCGAGGTTGCAAGGCGCGGAAAAAGACAATCGTCCTAGACAAGGGCAGTGGCAGACCCGGGCTCTAAGACGAGATTGGTCGTATGTAGTTCTGCGATCAGAGTGGACCAGTGGGCTTCCCCTGTGAGGGCAGAAGTATTTTGCAGCGAAGACAAAGAGGCGTGGCAGAGGACATCTTTACTGCGTTAGTCCGTATCCATAGAAAAGCTTTTCCGGCGTGCCCACGACGCCGTATTTCAGGCCAACGGTGGGGTCGAACTACGAATTCGAGTTTGAGTACGGCCCGCCATTGAAGCACTGACTGGCTCTAGCTCGCATGTGCGATAGTCAGGACTTCTGCAGTGGCTATTCACACCAGACGTGCTTGACACCTAACAGCAGACCAAAAATCGACGAACGAATGGAACAAAGCAAAACGGCCTGGAGAGAGGCGTAAATGCCGGGCAGGGGTGGGAATAGGAGCAAGAGAAGACAAACGGCAGAAAACTGTCCTCGCGACCGTCGAAGACAACCTCTTCCTACTTTCGGCAACCATTTAAGCCACGACGCTTGGCGCACCCTGATAGTTTCAGGCTAGGATTACATGAAGTGGTGGAGCCATACTCAGGTGCCGGGGGGAGTGCCAGTGACGTGCTTGCGTTGTGCAATGTTGGTTGTGCTTATGTGCAATGTAGGTGCTGGTGAGGGGAGGAAAAGTGGCAAGGTGTAGCCGGCGGTATTCCACCTCAGGTTTCCCTGGAGACGCATGAGTAAATGCATGCGGGCAGTTGTGAAGATGGCGTCTAATTTACAGTAGGTGGGCTAGCTCATGAAATGTCAACCGAGATTCCGAGAGATGTCTTCGTTTCGAAAAGATCAAGTAAGTAGGGTTGTAACGGGAACGGGCTGAAACAGCACCTTCCACGGCACTCTCACGCAAGTGAGAGACACGCCGTTCAACCCCCGTTGTGTGAAATCCTGGTGTTGTGTGTATGGGGGGCCAGGTCGTGCCGTGGCGCGCGCAGTCATGGTCAGTCGACCATGACAGCCACCGCGCCCATTCCCCACTCCAGTCTGCTGACCGGCTCGGACAGCGGCTGGGGTGTGGGAGTGGGGAGGGAGAGTGAGGTCGACGGCTCAGCGCACTTTCTCCTCACTATAAACAATCTGACGCGCTTGAAGCTATCACGGTGCGCTAAAAGCCGTGGCTTGGAAGGTTGCCAACTGACGGGGTATCTTGGACCTCCTCCTTGACCGGAGGCGGTCTGAGAGTAAAGCTGCAATGGCTCCTTTTTAATTTGCCCTTTATGGCACCCCCATCACAATATGGGATCCGAGCCAGGCGTTGGCGGCACGCCCAGGCGCGGCTTCGGCCGTGCCAGCCTCCAAATCTCTCTCGTGTTGGTTGAAATCCTGGTTATTTGTTGTGTGGACCAGGGGGTGTGGTGGAGCGCCAAGGTGAGGATCCGTCCGAGCCATCCACCTGCGGCCTCTCTCGTCTCCGGTCTTCCTGACACTGTCTTGACACCGGGCTCGGGCGAGGGAGGAGGAGAGAGTGTAGGTAGATGCTACGCAAGTCTACCGGCACTATAAACCCCTGCGTAAGTCACCGTCCCTGCTCCCATTGCTGCTGCAACTGTGGGGCACACGGTGGACATCATCGAAACCGATGGTCGAACTGTCACATGCCTATCGCAGTTGGCAGTTCCCGAGTGCATCACAGCCCCACTGGCCAGGTGTTGAAGTATGCCGTTGCTATGCGCCTGCTTGCCGGTCAAGATTATCGACTCCCACGCTCATCGCACGCCGCCGAGTGGCCGATTACCCGATTTCGTCATCCGTATGAACTCAGGTGATTTGTCCCGCCGACAGTGATATCGGGGACAGTGGTTATCCGCACGCTCTCCTCGCGACTAACTACCTCGTCTGGGCTAAGTTTGAGCGCCGAGTATGTAGTGAGAAGGTCGTTGCGTTTGTTAATTGATTGAGGACTGAAAAACCATGTTTAGAGCAGTTCGCGGCTCACGCGTTTGTCGCCTCTTGTAAGAATTTATGCATCGTCAAACTTGAATGTATAGTTGGGTCCCGTCGAATGAGCCGCGACTCGGGAGCTGGCGTCGTCCATTCTCACTGCTGCTGCGTGCTCGGCCAACCGCGTCCGGTGTGGTCTCCCGGTTTCTCCGAGATAGTTTCTTTGCTTACAGCTGCACCAGACACGGTCGGCGGCTCCAAATGTTTCTTGCCGTGACAATGGGTTTTCCCGCCTCATGATCTGGCGGTTTATGGTTGCCTCCGGTCTGTGTGCTACTCCAAATTCAAAGAGCGTGAGAAGACGGCTGATGGCTTCTCAGACATTCTTTACGTACAGGGTTGCTCGCCGAAATTTTGGCCGGTTGGATTTTGTCTGTCGTCTCGTTTACGCAGGCACTGGTTGACAAAGTTGCGCGGATAGCCATTCACACCATGAACCTGTCGAAGGTATGGTAATTCAGCAATTTTGTCTTCCGGTTCGGTTCAGTGTGTCCCACCCGTTGGTATAGCGTCCTTATGCAACGACGTCTATGACTAGTTGGCTGGTTGCTGTTGTAGCTCAGTACTTGCGTCGTATTTGTCGCTTTCCTGAGTACTTTGGTTTTTAAGCCACCACACTCTTTGCGGCAGACGAGGGCATCAAGAAAGGCCAGCTGTTAGTTTTCCTCTTCCTGAATCGTAAATTGAATGTCCGGGAAGACGGCGTTGAGGTGTTCCTTGACTTCAAGCACCTGATCCCGTTCGACGACGACAAAGATACCATCCACATACTGGGCTCAGAATTTCGGTCTATGGTGTTGGGAAGCCTGCGACTCCAACCGTTGTAGGACCACTCCGGCCATGAATCCCGAGACCGGCGGACCCATTTGCGTGCCCTTCACTTGCTCGCAGATTCGAGTGGGGATCTAAAAGCGTCAGGCTAATAAATCACTTGTTCCAGCGATCGTGTCTCCTTCTCTGCGACTACTTCCTGGAACTCGCCTCTTCACTTTTATGTCAAACAATGTCAGTCCACGCGCAGAATATTGACCTCGTAGGCGTCTTAGGAGGGTTTAAGCGTTGATGTGGCGGGTCAGAGGCTCCTGAGACTTGCGAGCTTCCCTTTTGGCTTTGACGGCGGCGATCTAATTGGTTTCATAGGTTGTTGCTCCAGTTTTCACTTCTTCAGACTAGTCTTTCTTGGAAGAGGCCCTCCCAGGTCTCCAGGCTGATCCGCAGTCGTTCAAGGAATTCTGCAAAGTTTCCTTGTAGGAATGAAATTGGCCTCTCAGCCGGCGAGCGCCAGAAACAATATCTGCACAGAAGAGTTGCTTTGGTAGGTGAGTGTCGTCCATCCTTACGAGGTGGTCGCTCCATCGTAGTTGCAGTGGCCCCAGCATGGCATAGATGCCCAGGAGCGCGGTCTGCCACAGAAATTTCTTGTCAAGTATCCTGTCCTGTCCCTTTAACTTTACCATTCATAGGAGACAACTGAGGTGGAAGTGGTTCAGCTTTCACACTCGTCTCTTGTAGACTCTAGATCTCTGTACCATACAGCTGTGTCGTCAAAATGATGACTTTGTGCATCCGCAGCTTGGTGTTTGGTTGGAGGTCGTTGTGGTTGCATACGGAGTTCTGCAGCCGATCGGTGGCCTGGCTAGTTTTGGAAATCCGGTGGGTCACTTTTTCGTCGATTTTGCCGCAGTCTGTGAGTGTGCTGCCTGAGTAGGCAAAGTTGTCCACGATATTCAGTTCGGTTTCTTTGACGGGGATGCGAGGAATACTGTAGGCATCGTCCGGTGGGGGGTAGTGTATGATCGCTGTTTGGTTCCCCAAGGCTAGCGAGCAAGTTTGTTGTTAACATTGGACTTTCCGAAGTCCCCAGTATCGGAAAACGCACACATAAATCCCGGTTGTGAGCAGTGCCCGATTTCCGCAGAGAACAGGGGAGCCTGCACGTGAAATCATGTTCTCTCCAGAGGCCGCGCGCCAACTGTGCAAGAAGCTAGGAGTTCCGTATACTTATAATAAGAAGCATGATAATGAACTGAGCAAACAGATACCAGCACAGCATACCATATAAGAAAATATCAGTTAAACTGGACTTCACTGGCAAAGGTCGAGGAGAAAATACGAAAGCCAGACGCATGTGGCAAGAACAGAGACGGACAATGCAGTTCGAGTGCAGTGGATCTGGAGCTAGATCTGGACCTCAGACAAAGTCGGATGTGTTCGACCTTTCACTAGTCATCGTTCTACATGATATCAGTCGGTATTGGACCTGTGATTTCTGCAGACAGATATGGGTCAGGCGATCTTATAGATTTAAGTAGAAGTAACGAAGCAAAGATCGACAGCAGATTTTCGTCACAGTGATCTTCTCGTGGATAGACTTATAGTTCTGCGTAATCAGAGACGTCAAACTATCTAGTGTAGATGGTTCGTATTCTTTCCGAAATGTGGTGAACGTGCCGCGCATTCCTGGGTAATTCCAATGACAACTTGAAATTCCCCATAGGTGACGCCCAGAACATGGGAGAAAATAGCTGCCACAGGTAAAACATCCAACTTAATTAAATACGTTA